TGTCGCAGGGGCGCATTCGCTGAGATGCTTCTTGGCGGAAACCTTCACAACTGACTGCGACGAGACGTGACGAATATGTTGAAATATTCATGGAGGATTACATCGAACTCCCGCGCAGATATTAATGGAGGATTACTCCTCGATGTCCCGTGAGGCTTGGAGGCGCGTTGCATCAATTGAAGACTCAACAAATTACATATTTTTAAAATTTACAAACAACTTTAATCTTCGTTCATTTTTAAAAGTACGTAAAGATGAAATTGTTTCTATTCTTCAGCAAGGTTCAAATCCAGATCCTCAGAATACGATACGACAAGACTTAGATGATTACTCATTATTTGATAAGTCCATGTTTTACAAGAAAGAAAACTTGTCTGACAGATTTTTATAAACTGGCCTCTATCTTTCATCTGAGCTTGCAGAATGACAATGATCACATAAAAAGTTGAAACCCGAAATGTGTCTCTTGCACTTAAAACTACGTCTTCCACTTGACCATCATTAACCTGTTTCCTCCGAATATGTCTTCGAGTAGAATTTTCTTTAAATCAACATCAGGCAGAATTTATTTCGACGTATGTCGAAGTTTTCAAAATCTACGCGAAGATCTTGCAAGTAATTTGTCGACCATTTATAGAGATCACTGCAAATTTTAAAATTTATTTCTACACATTGAAGAACTTGATGCGATGAAAGTGATGCAATGTCATTCCATATTGTTAGCATACCTATAACTAAATAAAAACTAACTCAAATTCTTGTACTTTTGTAGCGATATGTGTTACCTCTCACTTAGTATATCCTTTTTGATCATTATAGTCGGAGTTAAAAATTAACGCGTTACGAATTTGAGAGTATGAATCAAGTATTACTTCCATGGTAACAGCGCTCACTTCCCAACGCGTATCCAAAAGTTTCTTTAAAATATTTTCATTGCCAACGTGTATTTAAGCACACACTATCTGTGCGTTGAAGCAGAAAAATGTGTACAGTGTTTACACTAATGAAATAAAATTGACGCCTTTCAAACAACAATCGGCTGCGCTACAACCAACATGATTCAATTAATGTACTGCATATGGGATATATAACGCATGTATTTTGTTTTTTCCTAAAATAACACTGCATTCACCGGACATATTTGCCGCATTGTCGTACGGTTGTCCTCTGCCCTTGAAAAAATCAATGTTACAATCTTTACATAAATAATTCAAAACTTGAGTAGCATGTTGTTTTCCAACACGATTTTCCAGATCCAAAAATGTTAAAAAACGTTCTACAGGCAATCTATCTGACAGCGATACATATCTTATTATGACGATCACAGATGATCAACGTGGGATATATCAAATGTTGAATCGATAGATAAACTAAAATATCGAGAAACTTATTTCATCCAAAATCGTGGAGTGGACTTGCTTACTTATTAGTTTCATAAACTCTTCGAATATAGTTTTCGACAAGTATGACACACGTTCTGTAAAATAAATTGTGAAAAATTGTTAAATTCTGTAAAATATGTTTATTTTAGGATATTTTTTAGTACAGTGATATGATTACATTTTCCAGGATTACCATAATGTGAAATGTGTGAGGCCAGAAATGGTTCAAACTTAGCGATCAGTTCTAGCAATCCCAAATAATTTCTATTATTGACGGATCCAAATTTCTAATTTGACTCTCGGAAAGGTAATCCCCATTCTGCTAACGTTTGAATGACGGCTGCGACTCATTTGCAAGACATGATGCCAGTATTTCAGTTCTTCTTCGATTTGGTCATCTAACTGAGACTTTGGTCCAATATTTTTTGAGTCAAATATGCAAGCATTTCCTCTGTGATTCGGTGAATGTTCATGTTGATCAGTGACACTCCTATGGCGTCAATAACTATACTAAGTATAGAAAAGTACAGTAGAGAGTGGCTACCGTATTCTCCTTCAAATGGCGCGGTGTATTGTTTTGCATGTAAACGTTTCCCATTAAATGTCCTGTTGCGATTTATACACGGATTTATAGTGCGATTGTTTTAACTGTGCACTTGATCCCTGCTTCCTGCTTCCGGGCGTTGGTTGTTTTGCTCGCCTGACCATTGTGGGGGTCTCTTCGAGCAGGTTGTTGTAGCCGGGTGTTTGATCTGGTTGTGCTCTGACTCCTCTCCCCCGTACGGGGACGGGGATTGGGGGTCGGGGTAGATAGGTCCCTGATCCCTGTCTTCACATTGGTATTATCACTAAAATTCGTGTCTTTCTCGGTCGTGCCGCTAGATGTCGCATAATCGCGACTATGTCAACCACTACTTGATACGGTTGCGACATTTAGCGGCATAACCGAGAAAGACGCCAAATGCAGTGACGTAATGCCAAGAGAATGCCAAGACAGACCTGAAGACGGGGCTCAGGTGCACAGTTAAAAAAATTGCACTATACATCCGACTATAAATCGCAACAGGACATTTCGTGGAAAAAGTTTACATGCAAAATAATACACCTCGCCATTTGATGGCGAATACGACAGCCACTCTCGAGTTTTCACTATTTGCCTTTTTATTATGAAACAAATTTGTTGTATTGAGAGCAAAATCTTCTTTCCCGTCTTGAAATGTCCTGCGTGAGTTTTCAGATGGTGCTGAATAATGTCGACAATTTTGCGGTTCTTGATTTATCCGATAGTTGTCACGCGCAAGTAAACGCAGTTGCCAATTGCCAGGATCGTAAATTCTATTGATCAGAAAAATTTTAAATTACTAGATTATTATCGTTAATCATAATAAGTGCTTGATCATGGATTTCTTACATTGTTTCCTTATTTGCCACATCCTCCACACTATCAGGAACATTTTGTGAGGTTGAAGGTGATGCAGATGGTTGAAAAAAGTAGGTACTTGGGCAATTTCTTAATGATTTTCTCATCTTTCTGACTCTTTTCCTTGGCTAGTTTTTGAGATCCACTTGGATAATTTCTCTTCATATTAAAATTTGATTAGACCCATTAAAACACCAACAATAAAATTATTTATATTAAAGATGAACATGTGCAATGGGTGCGAAATTTGATAAAAATTATTTAAGTTAGTAAAAATGATTTTCATTCAGAGAATTAGAATATTAACCAAAAGAAAAAATGCAACACTTTATACGTTATTTTTATTTGGCGTATCTAAAACCGTGCTTAGCTGTTAAATGTCTGTGGTTAAGTCGGAGAGAGAGGCCGGTGAAAAGAAAAAGGTGGCTGGTCCGCACGTTACACGTGGTCCGCAGTTAACGGGGCATATGCAGCTGTTCCAACGGTTTTGCTTCTTTTAGAAAAAATGCTCGTATAAACAACGTTTTGCACTGTGGAGCGCTCTAGTAGTAAATATTTAGCAACCCAACAATTGGGGCAAAAAACATACTGTCAGATGGCTCCAACGGCTCCTGTAACACATCAGTGGGCGAGCACTATGCGCACAAATTTAATTTAAGTGTTATTTTGTTTATTATTGTGTTGTTATTTGTCTTGTGTTATTATTAGTATTGTTATTTAATGGGCGTTAAATCTGTAAAAAAATATAACATGTATTTATAGTTTCAAAATATTTAAAAAATACAAACATTAAACGTTTCCTTTATTTTGCCCTTTTTTAAGTACCTTAACGCTATAACTACATTTATATATTGTGTACAGATTGGACGCTGACGTGATAACTAACTACTTGGGTTAGTATATTTCAAATAAACAAACATTTTTTATTCTTTATGTTCTATCAAAAAATATACGATATAATTAGGTATATGAATACTTACTTTAACGGATGCAGTTATATAATAAATATAGACACAGCAACTTAATGCACTAGAACACTTTCAATTTTTTATTATTATTTTGTTTCGTTAAGCTTAAAGATGAAATTCGGAGAGGACCGATAGCAACGCCGTAAACCAATAATGAACTTGAACAAAAGGTCGGTTGGTTTGATTGGCTGTACTTTTGGATAGAAAAAATCAATCCCCCTTAGTTTGAATGATTGACAAATGGATATTTTTGAGCTCATAATTATTAATAATATTATCATAAGTGTATATAGGCAACCTTATATAAATCCATAAATATTCTCAAATTTAATTAGTTAAATAAGATTGCTAGTTTTAAAGTATTAACCAACATTAATAAATCTCGTCTTTTGAAGGGATTCCAATTTGGCGGAGACCAATTTTCCTAAGCAATTGCTTAGTCTGCTTATGCGGTAATACGGCACTGAATATGACCTAAGACCGAACCCTGCGGGACCCCGTGTTCAATTGGCAAAGATTTGCAGAGTTGAGTATATGTTTTTTCGTGTCTGTACGGTATTTCTACTCTTTGCGATCGATGATTAAGGTACGAGGTTAAGCAATCTACGACAATACCACGAATTCCATATGAAGGTAATTCTGAAAGTAAAATAGCATGCTCAATGACGTCAAAAGTTTTCTAAAGATCCAAAAATATTCCAAAAGATGCTTCATTTTAATCAAACGATGAAGCAACATCTTCAAGAAAAGAAAAATGACATTCCGTAGATTTTGGTTTTCGAAATCCAAGTCGAGACTGAAGACGCTTAGGTTTTCCTGAGGAAAATTTTCATTCGTTCATAGAGAAGTGTCTAATATGTTTTGAGAAAATTCACTAAAGAGAAATTGTCCGATAATTTTGAATTTTTTAAGTGACTTAATTTAACTGTGTACTAGAGTACAGTGGTGCTCGACATTCTAACAACTTCTTAACTTCGTAACTTAAGAAAACAATAACTTCCAAAAAGTTGTTAGCTCCATAGGGTATACCTTTATTGTTCTGTGGGGTACACTCAACTACTTTCATCGAAATCATTAGGGCAGCTCTAGTATTAACTTCCGATGTGTACATGAAAACACGTTGCTCCGTTTCGTGAATAAAGTAACTGAATTGTTTTTTTTTCTGCCAGAAAGGGTTACTCGTAACTGGCAATAAATATAATAATTTACAGATTTTGTACTCTGGTGTAGATAATTTGTATAGATATTGCCTGCCCAGTATTGCCTTGGAGTGCAATGCGTGTGTTGCACATAAGTTTGCACAGGTTGTGCAACGTTGGTCACCACAGTAGTGGAGAAGGAGAAAATTCAATTCAAATTCACAGTAACCAGTAATGAAGCATTTAATTGCTTTGGATTTATTATGATGGTCCTGGACAGTACTCTGCTTTTCGTGCGGTGTAATTATCAGTTCTAGGTAGAGGCAGGTTAGTGGGGCAAAGGAGGTAAATTCTATTATTATGCACTATCCATGATTACGTCAGTTGTCGCGCTTGAAACAGTGCGTGCCATCAGAAAACTGCGCAGTGCTGCGCAATATTTCTCGTTCCTCCTGTGCTGTGTTGTTTTAGCTTTTAGGCTGTGGCGAAGACCAACCAGGTCGGAACCTGGTAGCCGGTACAGCAGCAGTCAGCAGAATTGTATGACGTTCTGGACATTCTGTGAACTTGGAACTCTGTGGTGTGTGTGTCAGTTCTATGTAATTCTTTCTGGTGTGAAAGATGCGCGGGATGAAGTAGTTTCTGTTGACAATATTTCATTGCAGTATTAGTATATATCAAGGGAAGAGGTGGGCGGGTTAAATCTAGTTGATTGGTAAGCAGTGAAAGTGTTTTATCTCTCCAGTTGCATGAATATTTTGGTTGCAACGTGTTCTTGTGTTGTGTTTGAAGATATGATCCGCAATTTCAATATTTATTTTATAAGATTAATTTATCTGGTGATTTGAAGTTAATTTTCTTCTAGTTTCGTAAAGCACGTATTTGGTGTGGTTCATTAGGAGCTTGCCGATTTATTGGTGCGTGAAATTCTTTTGGTTATGTGTAATCGAAGTCACATCATGGTTTTTCTTCGTACTTACGTATTGTGCGTTTGAGTCGTATGAATACGTTCTTCGCTCAAAATCCTTTTATTTTTGTGTGTGCAGGTGTATGCCATGTTTCGTGATATTAAGCCAACGTTTGGCCAGAGTAGCACAACTACATCTGTTGGTATGTATTGCATGAGAAATTGACTATAGATTTTTAGGAAAATTATGAATATATATTATTTAAAGATTGAAAATGCAGTGTATTTGGTGTAATTTCTTTGTAAAATAACTTTTGTATTAATCAAAGATAAGATGGACAGGTTGATAAGGTTGCGTAAGGTGAGTGCATAAGGTTGTACACTGTGTCTGCTGTAAACACTGCTAACATATACTTGTAAGTTCCTATTTAGGATTTGAAACAATGACTTAACAAACTTAACCCAGCGTTTGCTTTTTGTATGTTTTGTGTTGCATTAAATAATTAGTATTCATGTATAAATAAGTCAGATTTTCTGATTATATGTGTAGATATTTGATGTATTTATCATTTTTTTTTGTTACATTTAAAAACTTTGTGGTGAATAAGGGGAGAAGTATAATCTACACATGTTTACTTTCAGTCTACACATGAGCTCCAGAATCTGTAAACAACTCTTACTACACATAGCTGGATTAAAAATAAATGTATTAACAAAGTGTGGTTAGCAGTATTTGAGAACTAGAAAATTTTGCTCCCAAATGGTAGAAACCTTGTAGAAATGCAGTTTGTGATCAGATTTGTTCACATGCATGGAATTGTAATTCTATGCTACACGTGTCCCAAGTTGAGGACAAAGCTCTGTCCTTCGGCTATCATGTTAACATAAAACATCCTGGAGTCTGTCCAACACATTTTATGCGAATACTTGCCTTAAAAATCATTTAACATGTATATGGTCTTGATGTTCTCCACAAATACGCTCATAAATCATTGACCTAAAATTAAATAAACATTAAAATCCATCCAGGTAAAAAAATTAGATAATAACTTCTTGTTGGTACAATGAAGACTGTTTTAGAAGGAGAAGAATTTGATTGTATTGTGCTAGATCATCAAGATCTGTTTCATTAATGGGAACAAAATTCGAGGCAGTGGATGGATAGCACTTATCACATTTTGTGAAATGTCTGAAAACAGAACTTAGTATCATACGTCTTGCAATACAATAGAGCTGTCTGTAACTGATCATAACATTGTGCTTGTTTGGAAAGCTCAAAGCCTCTTGTATAACATCAAACAAAAAACACTAAATTATAATTCAAGTAGTGATAAGGAATTACTAAGGCTGAAAGGACATTCTAACTTCCTTCAATATTTTGTTAGAGAATAGTCAGTATGAAGATATACAAAGTAATTTGAACCAAAGAATTGGTCGAGAAAACCTTCTTTGTAGAGCAGAAAACAATAAAAAAAACATGAATGTTGAATTATCTCATTTAAACTAAACTTCATCTTGGCTAGTCAGTTTGTGGGCTTTGCAGGGAAAGTGTGGAAGGCTGCAACATTTGTTTGTTGTTGTTTTTTTTGCTATAAAAGTATTGTAATTTGGCATTGGCGAGAATTAAGGTTTTATGTAAATCTTTAAAAGCTACAGCCTTACCATGGCCTTACCCTGCAAGAAAAGCAAGTGAACTTGGCCGTAAAAGAATTTTTGCATGGAAGTTCAATATTCAATTTTAGTTTCAAGATTATTTTTGGTTACAATTTACTTTTGTGAGAAAATGCGTATGCACTATCAAGCAGAGTGGTCGATCTAAAGTAAGATTTAACTCTCGTTTATTTCTATAATACTAATTTTTGGCCAAAAAGTTCAATAGAAAGCAATGTTCGCTGTTATTGTATTTCCTTTACACTTCTATGAAATTTTAGTTTGTTTCTGCTATTTATTCCCACCAAGATTTACTTAGATATTTCTCATGCTTCTATTTAAATTCCTATATGTTGGTAAGCCAGTGCACGTTGTGTAAAAAAAACGGAACTTTTTTAAAACCGCATTTTACATGATTTTCTCACAATAATAATTAAAGAAAAAGATATTGGATACCTGATTTATTCAAAACTTGAAAATCCTTCACATGTAAGGGCACATTGATTTTCAGAAAGTACAAATTTCTTATTAAACCCAGATATGCATGAACTTTATCTTAGTTGATGGGGGAGGTGAGAAAAAAGTTTTGCAAATACTAAGTACTGTAGTTTTAAATAATAAAGTATTAATTGGATAGTAGGTAAGCTATGTTGAAGAAATATAAGTAGATTTGTGAAGGTAAATAAAATATGTTTATATTCAATAGTGTGTGTA